TTTTTTCTTTTGAGTCGGTGTCTCAATCTGCCTCCCAGTTTGGAGTGCAGTGGCACAATTATGGCTCACTGCAGCTTCCACCTCCCAGGCTCAGGACTCAAGTGATCCTTCTGCCTCAGGCATCACCACTATTTTTAATTTTTTCTGTAGAGAAGAGGCCTTGTTATGCTGCCCTGGCTAGTCTCAAACTCCTGGGCTCAAGCAATTCTCCTGCCTTGGCCTCCCAAAGTGCTGGGAGTACAGGTGTGAGCCACTGTGCTTGGCCAGTTTATTCTGTAAGTGTAGTGGTGTGTGACTTAACCCTTACTTGACATGACCTGTTTGTAATTTGATATTGCCACAAAGAGTCTTGTCAGTTTTATGATAGCTATTTACCATTCCTGCTGGTCAGTTGTTTCTAAACCACAAAAGGGAGGGGGGTATAATGAGGTGTGTCTGGTCTCCCTTCCCATCATGGCTGGGAACCCAATTTTTAAGATTTCTCTGGTAGCCGAGTGCGGTGGCTCACACCCACAATCCCAGCACCTTGGGAGGTGGAGGCGAGAGGATTGCCTGAGCCTATGGGTTTGAGACCAGCCTGGGCAACTTGGCAAGACCTTGTCTCTACAATAAATTTTTTAAAAATTGCTGGGCATGGTGGCGCATGCCTGTGGTTCCAGTTATTTGGAAGGTTGAGGTGGAAGGATCACCTGAGCCCAGCAGGTCGAGGCTACAGTGGCTGTGAGCATGCCACTGCATTCCAACCTGGGTGACAGAGTGAGACTGACTCAAGTAAAAAAAGATTTCTCTGGGATCCCCTTGGCCAAAAGGAGATCCATTCCATGAATGGGAGACTTAAGATTTTAGTTTAGTTTAAAGCAGGGGTGTGGCCTGGGGCACCCACCCCAGACTCCCGTAAGCCTTGGCAAAGGCCATCTCCAGATCTTGTCATCTGTGCCAGGAAAAGCTAGGACAAAGAAGATCCGAGACCCTGTCCCAGCCCAGCTCCTCATATTCTCAAGATCATGGTTTTTCACCTTTGGTGCCATTGACAATTTGGATGACATGATTCTTTGTTGTGGAGCGCTGCCCCACCTTGTAGGGTGTTGAGCAGCTTCCCTGGCCTCCGAGCACTCAGTGCAGTAGCGCCCCCTGCCACACACACCCAGTTGTGATACCCAAAACTGTCTTGAGACAATGCCCTGTCACCCCCACTGCTCTAGACAAGTGAGCCCCCAACTGCCACGGTCAGCTTCGCCAGATGTGGGGGTGAGTTGCCCTCCCTAGGGGCCTTGCTAGACAGAGCTGGGTTCTGCCCCATACGGGTTCCTGGGAGCACTGGGTACTTCTTTGTCACCACAAATGTGTCACAGGTGTTGTTTTGGTCTGTCCAGCTGCTATAACAAAAATACCATAAAGTGGGTGACTTATGGTATTTTATAGAAATTTAATTCTCATAGTTTTGGAGGTAGAGAAGTCCAAGATCAAGATGCTGGCAGATGAGTTGCCTGGTGAAGGCCTGCTTCCTCATAGATGGTACCTTCTAGTTGTGTCCTCCTGTGGTAGAAGGGGCTAGCTGGCTATCTGGAGTCTCTTTTATTTGTTTATTCATTTATTGGAGGTCTCACTCTGTCATCTAGGCTGGAGTGCAGTGACATAATGATAGCTCGCTTAACCTTGGACTCCTAGGTTCAAGTAATCCTCCCGCCTCAGCCTCCCGAGCAGCTGGGACTATAGCTGCAGCCCAGCTTATGGGTCTCTTTTAAAAGGGCACTAATCTCAGACCAGGCACAGTGGCTCACGCCTATAATCCCAGCACTTAGGGAGGATGAGGTGAGAGGATTGTCTGAGCCCACAGGTTCAAGACCAGCATGGGCAACTTGGTGAGATCTCATCTCTACAATAAACCAAAAAATTAGCCAGGCATGGTGGTGTGTGCCTGTAGTTCCAGCTACTTGGAGGGCTGAGGCGGAAGGATCACCTGAGCCCAGCAGATCGAGGCTGCAGTGACCAAGAGCATGCACGGCACTCCAGCCTGGGCAACAGAGTGAGACTTCAACTCAAAAAAAGTTATGAAAATAAATAAAAGGGCACTAATCTCATTCATGTGGACTTCACTCTCATAACCTACTCACCTCCCAAAAGTCCTCTCTGCTAATACTACCACATTGGTGATTAGGTTTCAACATGTAAATTTTGCAGGGACACAAACATCAGATCATAGCAAGGGTGTGTCTCCACGTGGCAGGGCCATGGAACATGCTCCACAGACTGAGTTGTGGCCTCCCAGACTTTCCTAGAGTTTGGTCAAACAGGATTGGGGTGGTGCATCCATTCCCTGGCTGCTATAACAAAATGCCACAAATTCATGGCAAAAAACAGAAGTTTATTCTCTTGGGCAAGGAGTCCAAAGTAGGTATCGCTGGGCTGAAATCGGGGTGGACAGAGCTGTACTTCCTCAGGAGGCTCTGGGGAAGAATGTTTCTTGCCTCTTCCAGACGTGGCACCCAGCATTCCTTGGTCTGTGGCCGCATCACTCCAATCTCTTCCTCTGTGGTCACATGGTCGTCTCCTCCGTGTGTGTGTGTGTGTGTGTGTGTGTGTGTGTGTGTGTGTCAATTACCCTCTGATTAGGGTGGGTCTGGGTGAAGCCACCCTCAGATAGTTAGTAAGGATACTTGTGGGCATAGAGGGCTCACCAGGATAGTCCAGTATAATCTCCCCATCTCCAAATCCTTAATTTAATCACATCTGCAAAGCTACTTTTGCCATATAAGATACCACTGACAGGTTTTAGGGATTAGGATGCGGACACACTTGGGGACCATATGTAGGGAGAGGGGTCTGGATGGCAAAATTCCTGATTCCTGATTTGGGCTTGACTAGGGGCTGGAGTGGGTGGTATGGCAGACCAGGAAAAACATCTAGGGGCAAAGGGTGACTCACTTTAAGATGAGGGGCCCAAGTCGGCCCACCATGCAGGCAGTCCTGCCATCACTGCTGTGACCTTCAGGGGGCGCACTACAGCACTCAGGTAGATGTGAGGCCACCAACTTCTCCCAGGGTCTGGCTTTGGGAGGCAGTAGGGAGCAGACTTCTGGAAAGGGCAGGCTGGCCCAGGGGTCTGGGGTGTAGATAGGGTGGATTTAGATAGGAGGAAAGTCACTGGAGTGCTTTAGCGTGGCGGGGTCCAGAGGCTGGACTCGTGCCATCAGGACCCTCCGGGTGGCAGCCTCACCCTACCTAGCTGGGCTCACAGGTCAGGTCCCAACAGCTTCAACGCAGCTGCTGGACTTCCCAGCCTGCAGGTGACTGGCTTCTCCCCTTGCAGTTTAACCAAAGTCCCAGGTCCAGCTCTTATTGGCC